TGGTGCCCCTCGGGTCATCGGGATGACCTCCTGGGTCCTTGCTCAGCCCATTCCAGCCTGGTCCATGGCTCTGTAGACTCACAAATTTCATTTTGCTGGTAGGCTGGGCGTAGGGGTCTCTGAGGACCTAGATCCCACTGACTGGACTCTGAAGGGACAAATGCATAAACCCTAATAATAACTGTTGTCATTAATAGGCAGTAGCATGTATTGAGTGCCAGACATAGGGCTTTGTAAACATTAATACATGTTATCCACATAAAACCCTGACACGGTAAATATTCTTTCCCTCCCAATACTACTAATAAAGAATATGCAGTTCAGATATTAAGGAATTTCCTCAAGGTTTTACTGTTAGTAAATGGTGAAGTTAAGACCCTAACCCGAAGAGTCTGGTTCTAGAAATTGTGCCCTTAATTTCCGATGCGAAGCGGAACTGATTCACTCATTAGCTCCCTGCTGGCAAACCTGTACAGGAAGCCAAAATTCAGTCAGAAAGTTGGGGAGGAGCATGGAGGCAGGTGACCTCAGGCGCTGCCATTATTGAGTCGGAATGCTGTTTCACTCTAAAGGCGGCCTCATTGCAGGAACTGGATATGCTCCCTAGAGCCAGGATCCCATCTGCCCTGGAGGGTATCTGGAGGTCACAATGTCATGATTGTGTCTTTACCCACCCACCCCTTGTTTCCAGCCCTCTTCTATAATGTAGTTGTTGTGGTAAGAAATTACTTCGCTGTAATCATGGCTTCCCACTCTGTCACCAGACAAAGGAATCCCAGAATTCACGGAACACAAAGGTTCACAGGCCATATGAAGACAGATATACCAAATCACACAGTTAATTACAGCCAGTTAACACATACACCAAGGAGGAAGGGGAAGGTGATGGGGGAAATCAGCACACTTAGAAGAGGGTGTAGTGATGGCAGAAGCACCACACAATGTCCAACCTTGACTTACACGATCTGTCCCAGCTCGATCGGCCTTCCCAACTCAGGCTGCAGTTAAGAGAATTACAGCTGAGCAGGGGCGTGGAGGCTCAGCAGATGGAAGGTGTCTGAAGCTAACTTATGCTCACTCCATCACAATAACCTGCTGAATAGCTATGGATTTCCCTGTGTGTGGCAGGCAGAGGACATATTGGGCCACAGTTGGTCTCACCAATGGATGGCTGATTTAAGGCTTGAACACTGGGTACCTCATGCACCTCATGAATATTCAGCATGGTTCTTGGCCCTTCCAACCCCACCCCCATATCTCTGTTTACCACACATACTCTACTTACATTATTTCTGTTAACATGTCTCAGAAGCTATGTTTACTTATCATCTACAATTAGTTTCTTCCCTCTTATTTTTCTTTCTATAGAAGAATTGACTTTTTTTTGAGAAGGAGAGGTTTGGCAAAAGGAGAGAGACAGAGTCTTAAGCAGATTCCATGCCCAGTGCAGAGCCCGAAGCGGGGCTTAATCTCACAACCCTGAGATCATGACCTGAGCCAAAACCTAGAGTCAGACACTCTACCACCTCAGCCACCCATGTGCCCCAAGAAGTGAATATTCTTAAATAATACATTTAACACATTGTAACAGTCAACTCAGCTGGGGAATCTATTTGATTCTTTAAGATGACTTTACATTTTTCTGATTTAATTCTGAAAAATACGGCCCTGCCAACCTGTTCAGACCTCATTTTTATCACTGTCACCATCCTCTCAAAATTTCGGCTATACTGTCTCCCCACCACACTCATTATAGAGCATGTAAGAACTAGATTGGGTGAAATAGGCAATAAATACACCAACTTTAGTTTCTTTTTATATTACTTCAGGGCTTTAATCTTTCACATAGATCTCCTTTGATCCTTAAAACATTCCTGTGAGAAAGACAGGAATTCTCGGTAACACTAAAGATGAGAAAACTGAACTTTGGCAAAGCTAAGATTTGTCATGGTTCATACAGCCCAGACTCCCTATCTACCTATCTATCTATCTATTATCTATCTTGTGATTGATTGGGGGGAAAATTATACATGCTTATTTTAAGAAATTCAAACAATTCAGAAATGTTCAACAAATGTAACAAAAACCAACACCAAGAAATCATTCTACAATTTTTTTTTTTAAGATTTTATTTATTTAGGGGCGCCTGGGTGGCTCAGTGGGTTAAAGCCTCTGCCTTCGGCTCAGGTCATGATCCCAGGGTCCTGGGATCAAGCCCCGCATCGGGCTTTCTGCTCGGCGGGGAGCCTGCTTCTCCCTCTCTTTCTCTGCCTGCCTCTCTGCCTACTTGTGATCTCTCTCTCTGTCAAATAAATAAATAAAATCTTAAAAAAAAAAAAAGATTTTATTTATTTATTTGACAGACAGAGATCACATGTAGGCAAAGAGGCAGGCAGAGAGAGAGGAAGGGAAGCAGTCTCCGTGCCAAGCAGAGAGCCCAATGCAGGGCTTGATCCCAGGACCCCGGGATCATGACCTGAGCCGAAGGCAGAGGCTCCAACCCACTGAGCCACCCAGGTGCCCCCATTCTACAATTTTTATAAACCTTCCTGGTAATTCTCCATACAGCCATAAATATATATATATATATATATATATATATATAATTTAAAACTTTCTGTGTAAATGATAGCTCAGGTCTTTTGGCTCAAGTAGAGAAGTCATATGTTAGAAGTAACATAGCTAGAATAGGAAGCACAGAGTGAAAGGTTTCCAAGGAAGAAAATAAGAATGTAGTGAAGGATGATTCAGCAGCGGCTGGCCTGGGTTTCTGGGAGGATAATGCAGCTGTTCTGACAAGTAGGGAGCCTGGAAAGGGAAGGTAAGACTTCAGACTGGTCCACTGTGAGGTTTGATTGGCCAGTGGGACACTTAAGTGCCTCTACTTCCATGTGGAGGTAGACTAGCAGACTGGATTCTATAATCATGGATATATATATATATATATATATTCTAGTGGAAGTCCTGAAATCACCCAGGGAGGAAATCATAGGTGGCAGCCACGGCTAGTTCACAGAGAGCATCTGAGTCATTCAGGGGTGGAAATGAGAAATAAATTATCTTGTTGGAGATTAAAGAGATTAAGTAGCTATATTCCTGTTACAGGTGGTTAAGAGCAATAACAAAAAGCCACATATTAACGTAAAAAGATGCAGAACGTGTATTCTGTAATTCGGCAATACTCAGAGGCTGGGTAGAGCTAACAGAAGATTCAGTTATGCCATATAATAGTATTTACTGAAGGAGAGACGATGAGAACGAGGATCACTGTTAAAATCACTGTAAAGAAGGGCACCTGGGTGGCTCAGTTGGTTAAGCAACTGCCTTTGGCTCGGGTCATGATTCTGGAGTCCCAGGATCAAGTCCCACATCAGGCCCTCTGCTCATCAGGGAGCTGGCTTCTCCCTCTGCCCCTCGCCCCTTTCATGCTCTCTCTCTCAAATAAATAAAATCTTTAAAAAAAAAAATCACTGTAAAGAAGATGCCTGATTAATAGGTAAAGGACCATAGCTTGGAGAAACTTGAGAAGAAAAAACATATCCATTGATTACAAAATTCAATAGTATTAAAACACAAGCCATTATTATTTAGGAAAACAAGCTGGCTACACTTTTTTTTTTTTAAGACTTTATTTATTTATTTGACAGATAGAGATCACAGTAGGCAGAGAGGCAGGCAGAGAGAGAGAGAGGAGGAAGCAGGCTCCCTGCCGAGCAGAGAGCTCGATGCGGGGCTCGATCCCAGAACCCTGAGATCATGACCTAGAGCCGAAGGCAGAGGCTCAACCCACTGAGCCACCCAGGTGCCCCCTGGCTACACTTTTCATTCATACATCTTTTATGTTTGCCCCACATACTTTGAGGAAACAAGCTGTTTTACCTTTTCCTTCTGTAATATTTTGTGCTAGAGAAAATTTACTAGGATCATTTCCCCAGTGTTTGTGTGTGTGTGTGTTTATTCCCTTCAAAAAAAGCAAAATTTAACATATTTGTAAACAAATTAGGGCAATATATATTCAGATGTAAATACTTTAGTTTCATTTAGAGAAAAACTGCTACGTAGACCAGAGGTTCTCAAACTGGGTATCATAATCACCTGGAAGGTTTAATACACAAATTGCTAGGTCTTACTCCTCTGAATTTCAGTAAGTCTGGGTGGATCCAAGATTTTGCATTTCTAACGAGTTCCCAGGTGATCTGAAGTTCCTAGATGAGAGACTACATTTGAGAACGGCCAGTTTAGACAAAGGACATGTTCCCCACCCCCTTACGTTATTCTCTGAGTTCTCTTCAAACTTCTGGTATCTCCTCCTCCAGAGTACCTCAGTGAGGATCAGATATAGCAATCCTCATTGCCCTTAAAATTAAAAAACAAACAAACAAACAAAAACACAGCGATACTTGCCACAAGCCCCACTTCCACAGCCAGTATTTCCCATTTCCCAGCAAAAGTGGTAGTGCAGAGAATGCCTTACTGTGATCTAGTCTAGATCAATTGGTCTAGAACAATTTGCTTTACTTTGTCAAAAATTGTGCTTTCTGTATTGATGGGTATATTCCTACAGGTCTCTACAACAGGCCCTAACAGAAAAAGTCAAATACCTGAATTAACTGTTTCCTCCAGACTTGCTTCCATGATGTTAAGACTACATGGTTTGCTTGGCTCTCGCTCTCTCTCTCTCTCTCTCTATATATATATATATATATTTTTTTTTTAACTTATTTGTCAGAGCACAAGTAGGAGAATCAGCAGACAGAGGGAAAAGCAGGCTTCCTGCTGAGCAAGGAGCAGGCTTCCTGCTGAGCAAGGAGCTGGATTCCGGACTCAATCCCAGAACCCTGGGATCATGACCTGAGCTGAAGGTAGACAACTAACCGACTTAGGGAGCCACCCAGGCATCCAAGTTTGCTCCGCTTTCTGAGCAAGTTTGGATCTGCATCTGTATTTTTGCAATGTCTTCACTGAAATAGTCTTCTAGGCCTTTGACTTAAGTTCTTCCTTGGATAAAGCATCAAAAAAGAAAAAAAAAAAAGGTACTCAGCAGACAATATGCCAAACTCGTTCTAAAACTGCACTAATGAGCTCATCTGTTCTAATAACCTAAATTTATCCTGAATGTTGGCTGGTTGATGACTGGACTTCAGTGCTCTTGCACCTTTTGGGTAAGAATATAGATCACAAAGCAAGGCCCGCTATGAAGAGGGCCCTTAAGTCATGTAGTCCTCCCCCTCTTGCTGTAGAGGTGGGAAGTGAAACCAAAAATAAACTGAGGCTTAAGCCCACCGAACAGCCTAGCCGGCACCTCTGGGTTGCAAGCCTTCCAAGTTTGCTCAAGCGGATGCAGCGAGCTAGAGAACTCGACCTTCACGGAACTCTACTTTTCACAGACCAGCAATCACAAATGACAGCGTACCGAGAAACAAACGGAAAGGCTGCTTAAATCAGGAACCTAATCTTTAAGAGGCGAGCGAATGAAAAACATTTTTAGTTAAATGCTTAATGGATTTTAGTTTAATGCTTAGTGGATTCAGGACGATTAGCGCTGCAGAAGCCATTACTTCCCACTAAGCTTGCCGACTCTAGCCCAACTCCCAAAGCAAAGTTCCCCAAGGTCTACCCAAGCGTCCAGCTCCTCTGAAAACTAGATGGTTGGCCCTAAAAAGGGCCGTTGGCATGGATCCACGCAGAGCTCTAGTTCAGGCCGTTTAGCCCCCGAAGCCGTACAGGGTGCGCCCCTGTCGCTTGAGGGCATACACCACGTCCATGGCAGTGACCGTCTTGCGTTTGGCGTGCTCGGTATAGGTGACTGCGTCCCGGATGACGTTCTCCAGGAACACCTTCAGCACGCCCCGAGTCTCCTCGTAGATGAGGCCGGAGATCCGCTTGACGCCTCCACGCCGGGCAAGGCGCCGAATCGCCGGTTTGGTAATACCTTGGATGTTATCCCTCAATACCTTGCGATGGCGCTTGGCACCGCCTTTGCCCAGGCCCTTGCCGCCCTTTCCTCTTCCCGACATACTGACCGCAGCTCGCAAACACAACCTTCGGAGGGGTGAGCGTACCGGTCCCCTTAATATACAAGACTGCCGGACCAGATTGAGAACAGAAGGCGCGCGGCGGGGAAGCCCGCCCCAAATCGTCCCCGCCCGCTCGGCATCGCGTCCTTTCTTCTCTGCCGTGTCCCTAACCCGGCTTCCTCGCTCTCCACGGCTCCCTCTGGCGGGCTCTTGAAACAAGAACCTACCGGCCGTTGTCCCGGGAGAACACATCCCAACGCCAGGCTTCCGGCTGCCGCAACTGTCTTTCGCCTTCGTCTCTCTCCATTTGCGGACTCCCCCGGCCATAAAATGTAGGCTAAGAAAGGTCTTTCTGGTGGGAGAAGACGAAAGGAAGGGCAAACGGAGTGGAGAGACGGGGAGGAGAATACAGCGCCGGCGCCGGGTCTCGTCCGAGTAAAGGGGCGCGGGGTTCCGAAGCACGGTTGCAGAGAACAGCAACAAAAGCAGGTCCGATGCTTTGGCAGACCTAGAAGGTCATGGCCAGGGCCGCCGCACCCGTGTGTGTGCGGAGCGTGGGCAGAGAGCGCCGTAATTTCTGAGTCTAGTGTGTTTTGTTGATGGCGGGAGCATGGAATTTCACGTCCCCCGGGAGAAATCAGATCCTAGGCAAGATGGTTTTACTATATTTGCAAGCCTTCTCGTGGAGGTCAGTGAATCCAACCCACTTGTCATCCAAAGCTCGGCCGAAAGAAGCAATATATACAGAAAGAAGACAAGGATGTTCTGTGTCCCCGTTTCTACAGATCCTCTAAAGTCGACCCTTGCTTGCAGCCAGAAATCGGTGGCAGAATTGTGTCCCCATGGACGCCCCACGTGGAGCTAGCAAAGTTTGCTGAATTGGGTTTCTCAAGGGGAAATCTCCCTTTTGACGATCATTACCAGAAACTGCCCTATGAAGTTGGTTGGGGTCCTTTAGTGATAGCGTGTTTGTTACTTTACCAGGGCCTTCTGTAAGGAGAATCCACCAGAAGATGTGGTTTTTGTATCAGAAAGAATTACCCCTTTTTTCTGAGGGATGTGTATTATCTTAAATCTTACATGCCTTTTTTCCTCTCCTGGTTCTATCTTTTATATGCCAGCGAGTCCCAGTAATATATCTTTATCCAGACTTCTAGGCTCCAGGCATAGAGATCCTCCTGGTTGTTCTTTAGTCATTTTAAACTAAAAAATCTCAAAAAGCTTAAACTTCAAAGCTCCAAGGTGTGTCTCTAATGGGGGCTGAGGGAATCCATTCTCTTCCTTCTTCCCCAGCCATAAACCTTGCTCTCTGCTCGTTGAATGGTGCCACCATCATCACTTGCCTAAATCAATACCCTGGGATTCACAATAGGTGTTGATTACAAAAATTAAATGAAAGGAATGTTGATAAAGAAGGTATCTTTAAAAAATAGCATTTTTCTTCCTTCTTCTTTCCCACCTCTCTCTCCCCTTCCTCCCTCCTTTCTCCCCTTTCCCTTCCTCCCTCCCTCCCTCCTTTCCCCCCTTTCCCTCCCTTCTTCCCTCCTTACTTCCTTCCTTTCCTTTCCCTTCCTCCCTCCCTCTCTCCTTCCTTCCTTCCCTTCTTTTTCTTTTTCTTCTTTCTAGACAGGCTGTATATTCATTGAATTGTGAACATTCTGTCCTATTTTCCCCCATAAACCAGAGTTAGTGTTATACTAACATCAGTGGCCTGAACTTAAAAACAACAACAAAAGACCCCAAGTAATTTACCTTTCTCATGGAAAATTTTCTGAGCTGCTTTTAGGTGGAAAGGGGTAGGTCAGAGAGCCCCTCCTTTATCTGTTGTTTCTCTAGTAACTTCAGCTCAAAATAATTAATCTACCAGAGTGGCATATTTGGGGATGGTACCTTCTGAACCCTGCCAACTAAAGTCTGCTCTAAAGACAGGAAAATCTTACCTTTACCTGCTTAGGTTTTTTCTATTGGGCCTGATCATTAAATTGACACAAGATGGATTAACAGGAGAAAAGCATAGAAATCTATTTACTGAGTTTTCTTTGACACTGGAGCCCTCGTAAGTAAATGAAGACCCAGAGAAGCAGTTAGAGTTGACTGCTTATAGACTGAATTGGACAGAAGAGTGAATCATGAAAATGTCACAAGATGGAAGGGTTTTGGCTAGGGCAGTTCATGGTGGAAAAATTGCTAGGAAGATAAGGGTTAGTTTAACAAAGGTTTCTTTGTGCAGATTTCTCTTGGCATCAACTCCCCATCCTCGGTGAAAAGAATGCTGTTTTCCTCCTGGTATAAGGAAGACATCTTCCATGTGGGTGTTTAGTCTCCTGTTTTTAGGAAAGAAACAGAGGTCAGAGTATACTTCTTGCACCTGCTGTTTTTCATGTACCTTTAGCTCAAAATAATTCATGTGCCAAATGGCATAATTTAGGGGTGGCATATTCTGTCACTGATGGGGTTTGGGACGTGCATATTAAATATTTTAAGCTGAAGAAATCTTGAGAAAGGGATATAAGCAGGAAGGTCATTGTCAACTTCCCTCCAAAGCCTTCTCCCTTGAAACAGGTTATAAAAGCTTCTTGTGGCTTCTCTGTAGGACTAGAGGGACAGATGAGGAAAGGAGCATCTTTGGTTCTAAAGACAAAGGGACCCACAGAAGAAACCTAACAAACAGGGCTCGTTGCCTTCTCTGGCTTATTAGACTTACTTCATACTCTGTACCCTACTGCATTTCTTTGGAGTGCCTACACTTCACCACAGCGAGCACAAAAATACTCCGGTCAAACTGTTTCTTTGGATCTCCTTTTCCTTAGGAAGGTTCCCACATCACATAAAACTTGTTTTAAATACCTATGTGTTCTCTTCCGCTGTTGGTTCTGTCTTTGTTGGTTTAATTTTCAGCTGGGTAATTTAATTACCAGCTGGGTACCCGAAGAGGACTGAGGAAAACTTTCCTTCCCTATGCCACCCCTCACTACATAGAACAAGGACTAGTGTTAAGGTAAAAGGGGGAAGTTTTTATCCAATGAGCAAGGTGTTGAGGGTATGACTTTATCTCAGAATGGAGTTAAGAAGGTCAAAAGCCCCTGGCTTCTGAATTTGGTCCAGGGCTAAGGGCCACCTAAGATTAAAGGAAGTCATGTCATTCATGTGTGGAATTTAAGAAACAAAACAAATGAACAAAGGAAAAAAAGAGAGCGAGACAAACCAAAAATAGACCCTTAAGAGAAGAAACTGATGTATACCAGAAAGTGGGGGTGGGGGGCAGTTAAATAAGTGATTTAAAAACTAAAAAAAAAAAAAAAAAAAAGATGAAAGTCAATCAGGCACATGGCTGGCCCAAACCACAAACCAAAGATTCAGTCTCATCTTGAGGGTACTTGAAGCCCAGGGGTGTCTGCAATCAAAGACTGAACACAAATTCAGTCTTCTTGGAACATATAATTTAGTCCATTACTTTTATATTAAGAACAAACACATGCACATACAAAACATTATCTTTTTCTTTTATCTGTTTATTTCCTGGGGCAAATGTTAAAATTTCATTCATATGCTCTTCCCCCCATTCAGCACTAAATAATGAAACTTCAGGGCTCAATCTGGAAACTGCAGATTCTTATTATTCCCGGCAAAAGAAATTTCAGAGATATTAGTAGGAGAAAAATACTCCCTTTTCCCCACAGCAGCGGCAAATCAGAGGTTCTTCTGCATTGTCAAATTTACTTTTTTTTTCAAGATTTTATTTATCAGAGAGAGAGAGAGAGAGCGTGCACAAGCAGGCAGAGGCGCAGAGAGAAGCAGGCTCCCGGCTGAGCAAGGAGCCCGATGGGGACTCACCCCAGGACCCTGGAATCATGACCCTAGCCAAAGGCAGCGGCCCAACTGACCGAGCCACCCAGGCATCCCAAATTTACTTCTGATAGAGTACTGTATTGAGAACACTCACAGGAATCATTCCATTGTCCAAGGTGGAGACCGGGGGAAATCAAACGATTATGGATCTGAATTCTGTTATTAAAGGTGACTTCTAAGTGTTGGGGAGCAAGAATTTCCTGTCTCCTTCAAGGTCCTTCTACCTAGACTAAGAATCAAATTGACATGAGACAGATTAACAGAAAATCACATTTAATTCTGTAGGTACAAGGAATCTACACAGACATGGAAATTCCAAAGGCAGGTAAGATCTCTTTCTGGAACAGGTCCTCTATCTCAATTCTTTTTAGGTAGATGTAGGAGAGGTAAAAAGCTTTTCTTGAATCTACTGGGTTTTGATTGCTTTTTTATTTTATATATATATATATATATATATATATATTTTTTTTTTTAACGATTTTATTTACCTATTTGTCAGAGAGAGAGCAAGAGAACCAGCACAAGCAGGGAGAACAGCAGGCAGAGGCAGAAGCAGGCTCTCTGCTGAGCAAGGAGCCCGATGTGGGGACTAGATTCCAGGACCCTGGGATCACGACCTGAGCCAAAGGCAGATGTTTAAGCGACTGAGCCACCCAGGTGCCCCTTTTGATTGCTTTTTAAACTTGAAATAATCTTCACGCTTGACCTTCGCATCTGTAAATAACAATTTGTTCTATTCTGAAGATAGCCAGAAGAAGACTCTTAGAATTTTCTCATTCTCTATTTTATAGAGGTAAAATACATCCCATGACTGCGGGATTTTGTATGAAAGTACATTGTAGGGGAGCAAAACTTTGCCCCCCCAAAAAGTGTTTCTTTGGCACATAGATTATTTTAGGCTGATTATTTTTAGGAAACAGAAGACTCAAAAAAGTTTTTCTTTTTGCCTTCCTCCTAACAGCTTAAAAGAACTCGGATAGAGGAACTGCTCTAGGAAGGGAACTATGTATGACCCTAGAAAACTACTGTACAGTATGCCCTAGGTGTGGTAGACAGGGAGGAACCCAGCAAAGTCTGTTTACTGAAATTCTTTTCTATACCTCATTGTTTCCCAATGGCCCAGCAAACATTTGTTCACCAAACATTAACTCATATTATCTTCTTGTAATGGTCTTTCTTCCCTTTGCAGTCCCAGACCCTGACTGATCCCTTTCTTAGCCATGGATAGCATATAAACCTCAATTGGGTCTCATATTCTTGTATGATTTTCTTATATTCTTATATGATTTTCTCCTGTTAATTGGTCTCATGTCAATTTAATTCTTAGGCCAGCCAAAAAAAAAAAAAAAAAAAATTGAGGGGTAGAGCAAAGTTTTTACTCCCCAACAACAGGTAAACAATCTTTTTCATATCTAAATGAATGCCATGGCCAAGAATGCATATATTAAAAAAGAACACCGCAAAGAAATGTGAGGCCATTGTGAGCTGCTTTAGGCTGCCATCCAGATCCCCGGATGGTGGTTTCCTATTCTGATGGCAATAGTTCAGTGGGGAAAAAATACTGAGGAGTTTGACTGGATGGGATGGGAATATTCTTCAGTGCTTTAAAATGTGCACCAAGCCTGATGAAACTGGAAATCCATTTTAAGTTCATTATTTTGTTTTATGGTATCATGCAGGCCTTGTTACTTGCCTGGGACAAGCCATAACTTCTCTGAGACTCTGTCTTTTTATCTGTGGAATGGGGAAAATAGCATCTATTTCACAGAGTTGGGATTAAACGAGACAGTGTATGTAGAAGAACTTTTAAATACTGAGTCATGCTCTCTATATGTTCATCATTATTACAAAACAACCACAGGAAGCGGTGACAGCTGTTCACATCAGTTACACTTTTGCAGGACATCTAAGGTCTCCCTAGAGCAGGAGACTGTGCTGCCCATGGGGACACTTGAAGATATAAAAAGAAGTTTCTAGGTTGTTTAGTGTTCAGGAAATCCCCTCAAAATAACTTTTATTCTGCCTTCAGCAGGAAGATGATCATTCATATTGATACCATAAAGTAAGTTTTAAGCTTGTTAGGCCTGACTGTATTCACAGTTTTGAGGGGTGTTTTTTTTTTATAAGGTTTGGATGCAATGCTCTTTCAACAGAATGAGCATATGATTAAAAGTTATATATTAACTCTTCACACTTTTTAAGCATTGGTAACCTTACATGACTTGTTTTATGACATGTAATTTTCTGAGCAATACTTCAAAGCATATGAAATAACTAAAAAGCAGAGGATCTTCAATTTTCTTATAGAGAATAGAAAAAATGAAACAGGTGAAACTTTTAGATGGAACTACTTTATTGAAGAAAATATGTTAGCAACTCAGTGATCAACGAATAATTTATTTGCTTTGAAATTTTATTATAGCTTTTAATCTGATAAGCAAGTTGACTCTTTACAAACTATTCACTATTCACAATTTCTCCTTGTAAAGGAGAAATTAACGTTTCCGGTCCTATATTCCTTGACTTAGAAGCGTCTCGTCTACAGGACCTGGATGGCCATTGATGGATTCAGGGGAGGGAACGCTACTCCAAGGTGAAAAACCCAAGGAAAGGCGGAAGGCTCTACCCTGCAGGTTACGGCTGATTCGCACACGACTTCGGAGTTCCGAAGTTGGGTAAATGTAAATTTAATTTTTTGTTCCTTCCATTACATACTGTTTGGTTGAATCACTGTCGTACTGTAATGCAACTAACGCGCTTAGCACAGAGTCAGGCGGTAAATAAATGTTAGCTATGGGATTGGAGTTACAATAACTCTTAACTGGAAATGGAGGCTGAAACCTAGTTCATGGAAAGGCGTGCTTTTATTTCGAAGGCACCTGTTAAAAAATAAATCCCAGGCTGGCGAAAACACTTCAAAAATTGCTCTTACAAAAATGACAACAATTTAAAGGAAAGATCTAAAAAGAAAAACGTTCGTGATCGGTGAGATTACAGAAAAGTACGGTAAGGTGAATAAAGAGGGACAGATTAGCATAACAATCTACCTGAGCAAAGAGGATTGAATTTTAGCCAATGACATCACACTCGGGAGGTTCCTAACCCTTCTGGCCCAATCAAGACAAGGATACGTCTATAAATATGACTGCCTGGCACTCGTCGGAAAAAAAACAGTAAGACATCATGGCTCGCACGAAGCAGACGGCTCGCAAGTCGACCGGTGGCAAGGCCCCGCGCAAGCAGCTGGCCACCAAGGCGGCCCGCAAGAGCGCGCCGGCCACGGGCGGCGTGAAGAAGCCGCACCGCTACCGGCCGGGCACCGTGGCCCTGCGGGAGATCCGGCGCTACCAGAAGTCCACCGAGCTGCTGATCCGCAAGCTGCCGTTCCAGCGGCTGGTGCGCGAGATCGCGCAGGACTTCAAGACGGACCTGCGCTTCCAGAGCTCGGCCGTCATGGCGCTGCAGGAGGCGAGCGAGGCCTACCTGGTGGGGCTGTTCGAGGACACGAACCTGTGCGCCATCCACGCCAAGCGCGTCACCATCATGCCCAAGGACATCCAGCTGGCGCGCCGCATCCGCGGTGAGCGGGCTTGAGTGAGCGCTGGGCTCGAGGTTCCATCCTATTCAAAGGCTCTTTTCAGAGCCACCCACGTTTTCATAAAGAGCAGCTGTGCAGTTTTTCGGCTGCGGCGGGCTTGCTATAGCGCACCGGTGCACTGGATAGGGACATCAGGGGCAACTCACACGTGTAGGGTAGTGATATAGAATCAGTGACTTAGTCGGCTGGCGCGCTAGAGGGAACAGCTGAAATGGTTTATAGATCGTTTTTGCCAATCCCGCTTTTTAGGTGCGGAGTTACTTAAAGGTCTGGAGCGTCAGATACAGAAATTAAGTGGGAAGGCTGCCATGTGGGTTTGTGATAACGGCTGGAATGGGAATCTGCGTTTATCAGCCAGATTTTACAGTTGGGAGAACTAAACCAGATGTAAGTCCCTGTTTAAATACTGAAACCTTTCCCTGGTTTATGTGTTTTAAGAATTGTAAAGGCAGTGACCTAATATGTTCCTCATTGCATAATCTAAGCGGCGCAAACAGGAATTTGAGGGAAACCCCTGATTTTTTTTGAGATGTGGGCTTAGGTATTCTAAAACCCAAAGAGCAAAACAAACTTCCACAAAGCGTAGAGAAGTAAAACGGTGCAAAAATAGGAGAAAGTTGTCTTTAGCTGTTCCTTCAGATCTCTTTTTTGTACGCAGGCGTAGGACTGAAAAGTGAAAACCATCCTCTAACGCCCCAATCAGGTGAAACTATTGGGTAGCCTGAAATGGAACATTTTGATTGGCTAAGAACACATTTACTCTGCGAGCCACTAAGGAAGTATGAGCCGAAGCTTTATCTATGTGGACTCCACCCCCCTATGACGACATTGTTGAAAATTAACCAATAAAAATGCAGGCGCGTGCGAGCCCTCATTTGCATACAGGCTCTATAAGTAGCGCGTAACCAAGCACTTCGGAAATAGTCCGGATCGTTCCTGGCGTGTGGTGTTTCTTCTTGTAAAAATGCCTGATCCAGCAAAGTCGGCTCCTGCTCCCAAGAAAGGCTCTAAGAAAGCTGTTACCAAAGTGCAGAAGAAGGACGGCAAGAAGCGCAAGCGCAGCCGAAAGGAGAGCTATTCCGTTTACGTATATAAAGTGTTGAAGCAGGTGCACCCGGACACCGGCATCTCCTCCAAGGCCATGGGCATCATGAACTCTTTCGTCAACGACATTTTCGAGCGCATCGCCGGCGAGGCCTCCCGCCTGGCGCATTACAACAAGCGCTCCACCATCACGTCGCGGGAGATCCAGACGGCCGTGCGCCTGCTGCTGCCCGGCGAGCTGGCCAAGCACGCCGTGTCCGAGGGCACCAAGGCGGTCACCAAGTACACCAGCTCGAAGTAAGGGCACGTAAAGGACGCAATAGAACAGCTACTTGACCCAAACGGCTCTTTTCAGAGCCACTTAACTAGTCACAGAAAGTGGCTGTAAACACCTGCTAGAAGATTTGGGCTTTTGGTTAGGCGGGGTGGGCCTGTGAACTCGAGAACATTTGGGTTTGGGGTTAGGTTAGGACCGTGGTAAAGATTGCCGTGGCTCTTAAAATCTGGAGCCTGCGTGTGATGGTGTCCCCTAGTGGCATGACTCTTACTGGTAAGGAAAAACTAGTTCCCAAAATGGTCTCTACCTTGTTATATGGAGTCCGCGATGGAAGCTTAGATTTTAAAGTTGTTTTGTTTTTGGTGGGGGATGCTGTTCTACTTTTCTGTCTATAAATGTCAACCTAAAGGTTTCTGTAAGTGATCTGGAATTTGTTTTTCTTAGCGTACCCGTGGAAGTCCCTCCATTCCCCACTGCCTTAATGTTCTGTTCGTAAACGTCTCTAGGTGTCTGTCAGGAACGATGAGCAATAAAGCAATATGCTTTAGTCTATTGACCCATGTGTAAGTTTCGACTTAGCACTCCTTACCTAACTTCCACCCAAACCCAATCCTTCAGCCAGGTAAATTCTGCCTTCCCACCCTTTGGAACATTTAGTCCCAGCCTGGAGATAAAGTCATCTCCTGGGGAGGGATGCTAACGGCATTTCGTGGGTAAAGGTCAGGGATGCCCATAATTCCAAAATGCATAGGGCAGCCCCCCGCAAACGAGTCCATCACCTCTGTAACCCCAGTCCTTGTGCGGCAGTTGGTAGACCCAGCTCCCAGACTTCCTTTACATCAGGATTTCTCATTTGGCTCAAATCTTCCTTCCACCCCACCACGTAGTCAATGTTACTGCTTTTGGTGAAAGCTGAGCAGAACGCAGATTTACTGATTACTTAACACTGCACAGGAAAATTACCTTCTCCAGGGCAAGGAACTTGTTTTTCTGTAACAGTTTCCTGGTTATAAGAACCACCTTGGTGCTTGTTAAATGCATTTCCAGGTGCCTGTCCTGGAACTTCCTGATAAAGCCAGGTTGAAGTGGGGACTGGGGAGTTAGGTGGTTTTTAGTGTTCTCTGGTGTATTTTTAAAAGTTTGGGGTGCATGGTATGCAAAGGACACAACTAACCTATGGGATGAATTTCTAAAGACCCCTTAGATCAAAACTTGCATAATTCAAGACTAATCCCGACAGAGGCTGGTGAATGCTTTACCAAACCACAGGTACCCTTAAGGTGAAAGGAAAAATCTTCGTTTCCAGTTCATTTGGTAAGCTTTGAAATTAAGCCATTCTTGATCAATATTAAGGAATTTGCTTGACAAGTTTGTGCTTAAAACAAATTTTATTTATTTTAAACATTTTGTCAGAGCACAAGCAGGCAGAGTGGCAGGCAGAGGCAGAGAAGCAGGCTCCCCACTAAGCAAGGAGCCCGATTGGGGATTCGATAGCAGGGCCCCAGGACCATGACCTGAGCTGAAGGCAGCCGCCCAACTAAGAGCCACCCAGGCGTCCCATGAATTTTATTTATAATGTAAGAGTTCAAATTTACATCCACTTAAAGTTACATAAAATGGGCTGTATATGATTTATTTCTCTGGAAAATGAAGATTTTTCTGAGTCATTTTCCCTGGCGAGAGGAATGACTCACTGAGAATTTTAATTTCCCAGTGAAAGAAAAGAAATCGTTATGTGGCACATTTTCTAGTTGGAAAAGTTAATAAGTGAAAAGGCCAGGGTGTCTGTTCTACTCCGTCAAGTTATCAGCCTCTCAGGGACCCCATCTGGTGTCCTCCCCTTGGATCTTGCAGGCTCTGCTCGCTGAGTGACCCATGTTTCTCATGGTCTTTGGAAGTCGTTAAAGCACTGTCAGCTGGCTCACCTAATCAAAAGCTATCATTAATTACTCATGACCAAAGGAGTAAGCCTCAGCCCCTTATCTTGAAACTAAAGGTGTTCTGCCATCTGGCCAAAACTTTCCCCTTCAGTTGCTTGTTTTCCTCCAATCTCTAGCAGAGCCAAAATGCAGTACCCACTGTCCTGTACTGCCTCTTCTCTTTGTGCCTTTGATAGGTGGTCCTTCTAAACTGTACTACTTTCTGTTGCTCTCACACTACTCATAGTCTGTCTATCCGCTGGTACCGTTACTCACATCTTGGTCCTTGAAGCCTTCCCATTCCACTCTAGGTCACAGGAAGTCTTTCTCCTTTTAACTCTTAAGGCTTTCTTTGTTCCTTGCACAATGAATTTTCAATTAACTATAGCCTTGTGAACTAGGTAGCCTTTTTCCTTAAATTTTTCCCCTTGTTTTTACACGTTCTTGTTTGTCTTCTGATAGAAGACCAGGTTTACTTTTTTAAGATTTTATTTATTCATTTGTTCGCACGCACAAGCAAAGGGAACGGCAGGCAGAGGGAGAAGCAGACTCCCCGCTGAGCAAGGAGCCTGATGCAGAACTCAAACCTAGGACCCTGGGATCACAACCTGTGCCGAAGGCAGCTGCTTAAAGGACTGAGCCACCCAGACGTCCCCAGGGTTTACTTTCTTAAAAAAATTACTCCTTGGGAATTTTCACAAAGGCTGTTCTAGTGTCCACTATAAAATAGCATCTTGGAGCACCTGGGTGGCTCAGTTGGTGCAGCAACTGGCTTTTGGCTTCAGCTCAGGTCATTATCTCAGGGTCATGAGATCAAGCCCTGAGTTGGGCTCCCCACTCAGCTGCTGAGTCTGCTTGAGATTTTCTCACTCCCTTCCCTCTTCCTCTGCCCCTCTCGTGCTCTCTCTCAAATAAAATCTTAAAAAACAAAATAAAAAAAAAAAAATCACAGGGAAAGTTTGTTGACTGATTGCCCAGACCAGAGGATGCTGGAAAATTGGTCTGAAGCTGGTACACTCATGTACTCCAATAGGCTTTTTTTTTTCTCCACTTTTTCCTAAATTTTCTTGCTCCTTTAACCTGAAACACTCATAATAATTATTGATTCAGTTAAAACAACTTTCGGAGATTAAAAACTCCTAAGAGGGGCAGAAAGAGTACTGCACTTGATTGCTTTCCTTTATTCACTGTATCTATATGACCAAATCAATGGGATTCTACTGGAGCTTTTCCAGCCTAGTTTAGATGCTGCTTTTCCAGTGCTGCAAACATCCATGAGGAGGGAGATGCATTCCAAAAGATGAAAAAAGTCTGTGGTATGAAGATAAGGAGCTTTAAATATCAGATCCAGTGAGCATTGCAAATGGGCTTGGTCTGGGTTAGGTCAAGTGTCATTAAGACTGGTTAGTCATTATTTCAACTACTGGGGAATGGATTGTGGTATCTGTATAAACTTACAAACATGACCGTTTAACTTTGTCATAATTTGTAGACAAATGCCTCCATTTTAAAACTGGGTCCATTTTCTCCAAGTGATCTAAGAGTCAAAATACTTAAATTCGGGGGACTATAATTCAAGCACAGGACAACAGATGGGAAATGAGTTATATGATCTCTTTGAGGGGCATAAAGTAGGAGTTATGAAAGAATGTCAATCTTAAGGAACAAGACTGTTTTGGAGAATTACTAGATAGTGATTTTTTTTTTCTATATTTCCTAACTTTAGCTGAGCCATCATGATTTGGCAAAAATAGAAAACTTGATTTAAAAAAAAAATTCTAGATCCCATATTGCAAACATGACAGACTTTTGAAATATAAAAGCAGGGTGTGTTTTCTTTTCATGTGTAATCAAAGAAATATATCAAACATATATTAGCAAAGCAATGAGATGGATAAAAAGATGTAACTCTCATAAAGGGATTACGCCAGAATAAAAATAATTACAACTCAAGGCAAAATGTGTTATTTCCAGAAGACGGGTAAGAAGGAAATATTATGAGTTAAGGAGAATGATAGGTTGCCTCTGGCTGAAGGGTTCAGGAACATTCCATGAGGAGAACTTACATGTGCCAGGTCCTATATGAGTGATAGGATATAGAGGTATCCTTTCCAAGTCCATGAGGTTTCTCTGGAATATTGTTTGTAACCAATATATCCAGTGTCCTTTGGAAATTTTTTTTTAAGTTTTAGTTTTATCCAATTTTCTGTAACCTCTTTCAATTTTTTAATCATCTGATTTTGGTAGATGAAAATCTCCACCATTCTATACTCTGTGACTAGAGGTCATAATTCTGTACCCCTCTTCCCGCTTGTAACATTTCCCCAAACCCTGCTGAGGTTGCAACAGCTATGGTCCATAACCCAGTTGAGAAGCTTCACAGTGTAAGTTGTTGGATATTTATACCAACCTACACTGATTGAGAAGCCGTAAGAGGGTAAAAGAAAACTTTTGTTGCCTCTGCTACTCTCAATACTTCCAGCTACCAAATGCACGGGTTCTCCACACCAACCAATTCTGACCTTACCTCCCTGGATTTGGCACAGATACCACAGATTAAGGGCTCAGCCCCATAAGACCACCCCCCACTTCAGACACTACTCACAGTAGGGGGTCTCCAGGTTACCCAGGCTTCTGTCAGTCTTGGCTACAAATCAGCGGTTCCCATTGTCCCCTCTTCAGGTTTGATCATTTGTTACAATGGCTCATAGAATCCTGGGGGACATGTTTACCAGTTTATTATAAAAGATATACGAAAGGATACAGATGATGATGATCCAGATGAAGATGTACACAGGGCAAGAGCCAGAAGGGTCCCAAGTGTGGGAGTTTCTGTCCCTGTGGAGCTGTGGTGTCCACCCTCCTGAGATGTATGTGTGCACCAACCTGGAAGCTTTCTGAGCCCCATAGTTTGGGGATTTTTATGGAGGCTTTATCAAGTGGACATGATGGATTATTGGCTCAATCTCCATCCCTTCTCCTCCCTGGAGGATGGCAGGGGTGGGGCTAAAAGCTTCTAATTATAGCTTGGCCTTTCTGATGACCAGCTTCCATCCTGAAGCTTCCTAGGAGCCCACAAAATCCAACTCTTTAGAACAAAA